CTTTTACTGTGTGTAATTTATAAATTAAACTTTATCATAGGTAGGTATGTATAGGAAAAAACATAGTATATATAGGGTTCAGTATTATCGGCAGTTTCAGGCATCCACTGGTATCTTAGAATGTATCCCCATCAGATAAGGGAGAATTACTGTACAGTGGAATATTATTCAGCCAAAATAATCAAGGAAATACTGTCTTTTGTAACAACATGGATGGACCTTGAAGGCATTATGCTAAATGAAATAAGTCAGAGAAAGACAAACACCATATTATCTCACATATGCAGAATCTAAAAAACAACAAAAAGAACAAAAAACAAGCTCATAGATACAGAGACCAGCCACCTCTGGTGGTTGCCAGATGTGGGAGGTGGGACAAATAGGTGAAGGGGAGTCAAAAGATACACACTTCCAGTTATCAAATAAGTCATGGGGATGTAAAGTACAGCATAGCAACTATCATTAATAATGCTGTATTGCGTATTTGAAAGTTACTAAGAGAGATCTTAAAAGTCCTCAACATAAGAAAAAAAATTCTGTAACTAAGTACAATAATGAATGTTAACCAGATTTATTGTGATGATCATTTTGCAATATATACAAATATTGAATCGTTACATTGTACACCTGAAACGAATGTATGTCAATTACACCTCAATTGAAAAATAATAAAATGAAGGTGAAAAAAACCTTCAAACAAAAATATATAATTTTTTGAACAGAAAAATCATTTTCTATCAGATATAAACAAAATAAAAGCAACATGTAAATTAAATTGGAGTTAACATGGAAGAATGCCAGAAATAGCAAGCTAGATTATTTTGGGGCAACCCTCCTATTGTAAATAAATAAAAAGCTAGACAAATGTATTAGAAAAAAAGTTTGAGACTATTGGAGAGCTTTCAAGGCAGTGAGGATTAGTGGTGCCAAATCTCAGAGAAGAGGGAGGCATCAAAAACTCCAGTATCTCTCTCTCGGCCATGTGAGGAAACAAGAAGACTTCCCTGTAAACCAGGAACAGGGCTTTCACTGGAACTCGACCATGCTGGCACCCTGATCTTGTACCCAGAACTGTGAGAAATAATGTTTGTTGTTTAAACAAACAAACAAAAAATCAAATACCTGGAATAAATCTAACAAAAAATGTATAGGATCTCTATTCAGAAAATTATAAAACACTACTGAGAGAGATTAGAGAACATCTAAGTAAAGGGAGAGACACAACATGTTCATGGATTGGAATACTCAGTATTATAAAAATGTCAATTCTCCCAACATTTATAGATTCCTGACAAGTTGATTCTAAAATGGAAATGCAAATGGTCAAGAACAGCCAAGAAATTTCAAAACAACAAAGTTGGAAGACTTATTCTGCTGTATATCAAAACTTTTAGAAAATATATATTAATTAAAACAGTTGTGGTACTGGCACAAAAATAGACCAGTAAAACAATGGAAAAGAACAACATAATTCAGAAATAAACCAAAAGTATGGACATTTGATTTATGACAAAGATGTCCTTTTAGTATTTCAACGAATACTATTGAGGCAAATGGATATCCATATAGTAAAAAAAGAATCTTGACTTCTCTTTACCCAATAAACAAAAATCCCTTCCAAGTAGATTGTAAATTTACTTAAAAGGCAAAAAAAAAAATTAAAAAAATAAGGTTCTGGAAAATAAGTAGAATATATCTTTATGACCTTGGGTTAGGGAAATATTACTTTAACAAGATACAAGAAACACTCACTAAAAAAGTAAACATTGATGTTAGACTATTACTACTAAAGGTAACTATTCATCAAAGACACCAGGTAAGAGTGAAAATGCATGCCAGAAACACATACTATATGACCCTAGTTATGAAATGTTCAAAAATAGGCAGAACTAATCTACAGTGTTAGAGGACAGATTATTAGTGGTTATCTCTTGCGGGGAGGAGAGGGTAGTGACTGGCAGGGGCATGGAGGAGGTTCTGGGATCCTGGTAATTTATTTGTCTTGGATGGTGTGGTGACAAGGATATGTTCATTTTGTGCTAATTCACTGACTTGTGCACTCACAAATTATTCATGTTTCTGTTTGAATGTTATACTTCAATAAAAATTTTTTCTAAAAAAATTGTGGCATGGGGCTAACCAAGTGGCTCAGTTGGTTAAGAGCTTGCTCAAGAGTGGGAGCTCTGAGCAACAGGGTTGCTGGTTCGATTCCCGGCCCAAGCTGAGCTGCCGCTGAGCTGCCAACAGGTGGCAGGATTGGTCAGCTAAAAAAAACAAAACAAAACAAATTGTGGCATGTACTGTTAAATCTCTGACCTCTTCAAAGGATTCTTTTTTTTAATTTTATTTTATTGGGGAACAGCCATGGTCACACGTTACACATTGCTTTCATGCTACAATGGCATAGTTGACTCTTTTAGGTAGGGCGCAGCTCACAGTGGCCCATGAGGGGATCGAACCGGCAACCTTAGTGTTATCAGCACCACGCTCTAACCAACTGAGTTAACTGGTCACTCCTCTAAGGATTCTTTAGGGAATGATTTCCCCATCCTCTTTGTTACATAAATAAATCTGGGTATACTTGTACTGTTGTAATATTTCTTTTAAGCATATCAGAAAAATTTCCTTGCGAGTACAGTAACCTAACTTTCCAGGCTAGAATGGTCATGAACTGGGGTATTCTGTTTAGGGTCTTTAATATGGGAGGGGAGGAGGTAGAGTGGTGATTAGCTATCACTACTTCCTACTGGGCATCTTCCTTAGTTTACAACATGTTAGTCCCACTTGGAGAGGCCATTCTACTCATAATTCATATGTTGGTTCACACCCAAACCAGTACATCGCACCTATCTGACTATATTTCAAAATTATGGCACTTCGGTTGGTTGGTAGGAGTATGAGAAAGATACACAATACAGCAGGAACACTTCCCTACTCTTGGCCTGGTTGGTATAATAATCTTGCCTATTAATTTCAACCTACTTTCCCTCCACCTGTAGACATCAAAGCTCTCTGAGCTGCTCTAACAGTCAATGGCAAAAATGTTGCTTTTACAGCTTTTCCAATCACAAGCTAGAACCACAATATAAAAATGAGCTTTAGTTTACTAAATTGAAGCTGGCTGAATTCAGAGCCCTTGATTGGCCTGTGTATTACCTAACCGGTATTTTCCAGAGGCCAGAAGCAAACAGGGCAGAAGACAGCCTGGCTGAAAAAGCCACCAGTCTGATCACAGTACGAAAGCTGGGAAGTGGCCCCCACCACTACTGCAAAGCTCGTCCGTATAGAAAACATCAGCCTTATTTTGCCACGTAAAAATGTCATTTATGCTGTTTTTAAAATTTATTTCATCTAGTTAAACTCCTCAGCAGTGTTGGAGAGTGCTGGTCCAACTGTCCTCTGTCAAAATGTCCTTGATTGGAATCCTTGGGAAATTTCAGAGAAGAAGCCAGTCACACCATTCCCTTCTGGCGCTCAGGCCAGCCTGGTGCTTACTTATGTTCCACAGGGGCTTCCCTAAGAGCTCTGAACAGAAACCTTGTCGAGTTCTGATACCTGAGCTCATTGACCACATCCTGCTGGCGACTCCGCTGTCACTGTGCAACAGCAGTGGGAGCAAGAATCCTAAGATGACAAGTGGGCACTGACTAGCCTCTCACAGAAGTACACAGGACAGTCTGATAACGAGCTGTTAATAGATCTTACCTAGATCGACAAAAAGATGCTTTTTTCCTGTGGTATTCTTCACAACTAAAAATGAAAGATCGGGACTGCTTTGCTCAGCTGATCCCAGCCTCCCCGGCTTCTCTGAATTCAAGGTCCAGCTCTCTCCTATATCCTTATCTGTGGACATTTTACTGAAGGAAGTTCCTTGTTTAATTGGTGTTTCAGGAAAATGGGAAAATCCATGGCCTGTTGTCTCTGGAATCTTGTCATCATCTTCACTGGCAATTAATGGAAAAGCAGGCTGCAGAATTTTTCTCACAAAATTACCTAAGGGAAAAAAAATATGATTTACCTAATTCTTCTTTTCCGTAAACTATAACTTAAGATCTAGGCACAAATCTACACATGACAATTTTACACAGTAAAGCTTCTTTTTTTAATTTCTGGTTTTAAAACTGAGTTGCCATATGCCTCTGCTGTTACTTCCTTCTTCTTGTGCAAACTTGTACTTTAATTCCCATTTTAAGGGGAGCTTGGTGTCACTTGTAAACAAATCATCTTAAAAGGGAAGGTTAATTTGAGATGTGTCAGTGTTGTTGCTAGTATGAGCCTGGGCCTAATGTACTGTCACCAGAAAACGATTACTTCTGTTAATACAAATTGAGTAAAATTTATCTTCCCAATCAACGATTAAAGAATGTAAGGTTTATATGAGTAAACTGTGCTGCACAGAAACACTGAGAAAATCTCTGCCATATTCTCCCTGAGTCAGGTTGTCAACAAGTTTCCCAAGAGCTTTTTTCTCCCCTTTACCTAAGAACACTGACGTTCTCAGCCACCAGTTTCAAAGCTGATGCTCTTGCTGCCTGTCCCTATTGCAAGTCATGAGATGGATTGTGGCCTTGTATCTAAAGTCCAGCAGTAAATCAATTATATACATTTATTGTGTTTCAACATTTATTCTAAGAGCTCTAAAAATGAGTGGTTCTATCTTTAACAAGAAAACATAGTATGACAAGCTGGAACTTCTTTAAACTCTCATCTATTATTTATACCATAAAATTAAGTAATAATTTCATTAAGTTGCTTCATGTATGACCATACTTAAATTTAATTTTAATCTTTAAAACTAGGATAGCCTGGGTTTCTCACTTCATTTACCATGTAGCATGAACCCTTAAGTCATAAGATATACATGCTCTAAATTTAAAAATCTTTCTCTAAATGAGAGTTAATTACTTCCCTATTCAAAGAAACAAATCCACTATCTTACAAAACACTAACCATCAAAATGAAAACAAAAGCATTTGATCCTTGCAATGATATGCAGATATGATTATTTCTGGAATGAGAGAGAGAAGAGGGTAAATACTGAGTGAAAAAAATTATGCTATATCAAAGGACAACAAAGCAATACAAATATAAATTGATGAAGTTAATTTTCCTGGAAATGTAAAAGTACTCCTACTTGATACTAGGTGGTAAGAGAACTGACAGCCATGGTTGCAGAACCAGTTGCCAAGGCAGCACTGAGGGGCCATGCAGGCCTTTGATCTTTGGCAGGGAGCTAACACAGCCAGGACATGACAGTATAACCAGCATAAATCAATAGTAACACAGGCTCCAGATAACTGCTCTGCGTTCTACTTCCCTTCCCCAATCTCACCACACTCACCTCATCATTAATACAGGGACAATTTTGTTGGCTTAGAATAACTCAAAAGAATGTGTGAGTCACAGAAATTTCAGGTCCTATGGCAGGCTGGCAGAAGGGTATTTTAGGCAGATCAAATTGATATGTTTTGCTAACAGTCTGTGATCTCTTACACTTACCCTAATTCCCTTTTTGAAAGGTTAACAACAAGAACTAGAAATGTCACCAAGAGATACACTGAAGGAGGGGAACGGATGGGGGAAATTTGGGCTCTTCCATAATCTCTGCATCTCTACTTCTAGCAGTTCATAATTTCAGAGGAAAGAACCCTCATCTGGCACCCCATTTATCAGGTCTGATTATGTCTCTCACTCTAGCCATACTACTACTCCCAGTGGTCCCCAAACTACGCATACATAGCTTTGCTTATGCTGTCCTGACAGTAAAGCCTTTCTTCACTTTGTCTATATGATGGAATTTTTATTTCAAGAACAGCTTGAATGCATCTGCTTTCAGACTATATGTAGCAGAGACTGCTAATTATCTGACAAATTTCTATTCTCTCCTTCTCCCCCAGCAACAAATCTCAATTTTTAGCCTTGTGGTAGGAGTCACAGAGAAAGTGAGAAGTAAATAGGAATCAAAGAACTATCTTGCTTAGAACTCTTCTTCCACGTCCTGACAGCAGAGCCCACTTAATATTTATTAAATGTCTACTTGTGTTTATTATTGCTGCTCCTGCTACTGTTACATTACTAATATTATTGCTAAAGATATTATTATGTGATACGCTCTGGAAGTACAACAGTGAATAAGAAACAGTCCCTGCCCTAAAGAAACATTAAGTGGAATAGACAAAAAACAAAACAAACAGGAAATTATCTCAGGAAGTGGTGATTGCTTTAACAATGAACACAGCACTGTGTGCAACCAAGAGGAAACACTAATGTAAGTCTTAGGGTCTGATGGAAATGGCTGCTCAGATGATGATAATCTACACTGAGTCTTAACAGACCAGGTGAATTGGAGGCATGTCCATGCAGACAGGAGCGTCAAAAAGTGCAAAGACCCAGGGACTAGAGAAAATGTGGCCCCGGTGGGAGCTAAGTAAAGGATACAGTGAAAAGAGCCGAGTGGTAAGAGACGAGGCTAGAACACAGTGGGCCTCACGGTGCAAACTAAGACATCTGGATTCTTTCCTGAAGACAGTGAGTAATCTTGAAGGGTTTGAGGTACTCAAGTGGTATAATCAGATTACTCTAGCTAGCTCACTTCATAAGTAAACTGAGAGACGTACGCAGCGGTCAAAGATGACATCAACATTTCTACTTGGGTAATTGGGTGGACGGTGATACCACTCACTGATATACACATATCACAGGGGAAACAAGTTTTAGGGAAAAGATGAAGAGTTTGGTCTAAGACATGAGTCTGTGTGGGGAGGTTTAATAGGCAGTTGACTGAATGCATCTGGTGTTGGGAACAATCTTGGCTGAAAACAAAGATTTGAGTCTTAAACACATAGATGGTAATCGAAGCCATGATAGTGGATGACCATCAAGGTTACAGATAGAGTAACAGAGGGACAAGGATGGATCCTACAGTTGCTAATATCTAAGGGGTAAAACAAAGAGATCAAAGAAAAAAATGTCCAACTAAGCTAACAGAAAATGCAGGAGCCCTAGGTACAACACTAGGTTCCTGGCTTTTATGCCAGTTCTTTGGTGACTATATCATGTCTTTTACCGTAGGTACCCTTAAAACTGTCAGACACCGGTAGCTCTGAAATGGAATAAACTTGAACTTCAGTCAATTGTCTGCTGTTTGGACTTAGGAATACTGATCTACCCATGCTTTGATAAACACTCAGGATTCTAACCTCAATATAGATCTTGGTTTTTGGTGTTTGCATTCTGCCTATTTGTTCCCCTTTGGACTTCCTTTTATACTTGAGACTCTATCTCTCAATTTCCAGTCCTGGAACAAACACTCTGGTTACAGTTTCAAGCTTACACATCTAGACTCCTTCTGAACCCTA